GGGATACAAACTACAATGGATTTGAAACATAAAGATTGAGAATCATTCTTCAGAAGAGACTAGGAAAGACTAGTACTAGGTATATGGCCATGAGCCACCCAAAGGCATCCATAGCCACATTCCTAGAACCCGTGACTGTTATGTTTACATGGCAAAGGGAACTTTGCAAAAGAAATTAAGGTCAAGGATCATAAGATGGGATGATTATCTTGAATAATATCAGTGGGCTGTATTTAATCACATGAGTCCTAAAAAAGTGGAAAACCTTTCCTGGCTATAGTCAGAGAAAGAGATGTGAGGGCAGAAGAAAGGTTAGAGAGATGTGACACTGCTGCCTTTGAAGACAGAGGAAGATGGCATTGAGCAAAGGAATGTGGGTGATCTCCAGAAGCTAGAAAAGGCAAAGAAATGGGTTATTCCCAATGGTCTCCAGAAAAGAATATATATGTATGTTTAAAATGAAAATATTAGAGCAAACATATCATATGTTTAAGTAGTTGTCTATTTTATTTGTTATAGACCCATCTGGACTCACATATTACTAATTTATTACTTAGTTCAGTCCAGTCACTCATTCGTGTCCAAATCTTTGTGACCCCACAGACTGTACCACGCCAGGCTTCCCTGTCCATCACCAACTCCCGGAGTTTATTCAAACTCATGCCTATCGAGTTGGTGATGCCATCCAACTTATTGAACATACAGCTTCAGTCAAAACTGATTGAGACTTGTGGATTTGTTTAAGGAAGCAAAAAGTTATTTAGATTCAAACTGGTCCCACGAATTGAGCTTGAGAAAAACATAAACTATATTTATTTCACACCATTGATATATTCTGAACTCAAAAAACTTGCAAAATTTGAAGCCCTGAAGTCACATTCACATAAAAGATCCACAGATCATGATGAGAGTTAACTTTGCTTTTTTTCCTGGTTATTTTCATTGCATCTGAATTATTATTAAGCATTTACCCTATCAACATAGCTCAATAACAAAAGCTCCAAACTAATCTGAAAAGCAAGTCAGACCCACCAAATGAAACACAACACTCCTTAAACTAATAAATTGAAGACTTTGGTATACGAGTTGTCCTAAAATATTTGAGCAAACTCTAAGAAAGGTTTGAGTTCAGCTAGTTTCAGGAAAGTACATTCCCTTTCATTACAGCTACTGAAACATCTATAGAGAAACATTCTTTGTGATAGAAATCTAGAGTAAAAGTAAACCTGGAAATTTGTTCTGATAATATACTCCACAGTGGTTCCTGCTGTTTAATTCCAATATTCATTGGCTTGCTCAGATACTCATATTAGGCCCAAAATTCTGCACTTGTAAATAAAAAGGAAGTATTATACTGATTTTGGATGCTCTTTCATAATGTTATAAGCACAGATTTGCTTATTTATAGGTTGTACTTATCAATAAAATATTAATATATCATGCATATAAGTAGGTTTCTGATCCTGTAGACCACCACTGGATAACAAGCTTCTCGTGCTCTCATCTCTATACCAACATGAGGGCAGCTCATACCAGACAGTATCCACATACACACACTAAGTCTTTCATTACCTGAGGAAAAAAGTGCCTTCCTCAACAAATATTTAACCTTATGCCCTAGGAAAAATGAATATATAAATATTCTTAGATCACCCAAAGAACAAGTTTTCTCACCTCTGCGTACTTCCTTTCCTGTTCTCTTGTTCTCACCATTAAACCTCCCTACATTTTCTCCACAGTTTTCATGTAAATATAATAAATTATTACAAATTAAATGCTTCGGGCACATTGTCAATTTAATTGTAAAAGTTGAGATGAAGCAAGCACTAATTCAATTTACCTCTCTCCAAATAGTAATTACTGACCACCTGCTACCTGAAAGGCACAGTTGTAGGGCCAGAGATACAGCCCTTGCTCTCCTATAGCTTCTGACCAGTGGAGAAGACAAATAGGTAAACACAGGAATTCCAACAAGAATGAGAGCTATAAAGGGGATAGTGCCATGAAGGAGAGCTATTAAGTAGGGTGTTTGCACTCATTTACCCGAAGGAGAGATAAGGAAACATGGGAAAGAGAAGAAGGAAGAAGAAAAGTGTCCATCAATCATGAAGAGTACTGCAATCTAATCAATTAAATAATGGAAATATTTGAATTCTTACAATTAAGTCTACTTTTAAAAAATGAAAATTAAGATAATATCTGGACAAGTTAAAAAAAAAGCTACTTACCTTTGACCTCAATTATTTGAATGCTATAGATGGAAAAGTCTTTCCACTTCACTCATAATAGAGAACTTACCTTTCTTAAACCAAAATATCTAACAGAAAGATATTAGTAACATAAATAAGTTTTGTATATTTGACAAATGGGCCTTGAAACTGAACATGAGATTAAAACCTCATTTAAAAAAAGCAGAAGACAAAAATTTTCATATTTTTGCACCTTACTTAGCATATTTGATACCTAGAATAGACACTTTTTAAAAGACCCCCTCCTCTATATGACAAGTTACTTTTCAGTGATAATCATTATTTTCCTGATTGGCTCCTTAACTTTAAAGCAATTGACAATTTCAGAAGAGAAACAGATTTCAAAGTTATTATTCAAATTGAATAAAATATTTCATGTATGAAATTTTCACTTACCTAGAAAATTATTACCTCCTGCAATTTATACTGTTTCATTGTTAGAATTTTAAAATTAAAATAAAAATTCCAAGTGATCACATGAAGTAACAGAATTAAAGTAATTCTATTTCTAGCTCTTTGTCTTTACAATCACTGTGTTATCCTTGTCCATACTGAATCTGCTGTTTAAATCTATAAAGAATATAATGTTTATTAAAGGCTAATTATAAAAATGTGCTAAGTTGAATTATACATACATATATATTATTAAAACTCAACAATAACCACTGCAATTATTTAGGATTTAGAGAATTTATGAAAATTTGTGAAATTTTGTGTGAAAAACATTATCACAGACTTTGAGAATTGTTGGTGCAGAGCAACTTTTAATTGGCTTTATTATTTTTATAAATTTCTAGAGGTGATGCACCTTCTCAATGATTGCACCCAAGGCGGAATGCTCCCATAACTTCACTCTCTGTATGAAAAGTTTTTAACCCAAAGTTGAAGAAAGCTACAAAATCAACACTACTTTTAAGTGATACATGTTTATTATATACAGGAACAGCTTCAGTGGCCTGTAACTGGGCAAAGGTCACCATGTTCAGAATGGAGCCCCATGTGTGGATTTTAGTTTTGAAATTCTTAATAATCTTTGAATTTGTGTGTTTAAGTGAAGTCTGATGGGGCAATAAAGCATATGTCCTGGACTCACAAGCAGTCCTGACTTCCAGTGCTTCAAGGAACAGATCCTCAGCCAACTGCTCCCCTACCCAGCAACTGCTCCCACCCTCCACTCCTGGTGGGGGCCTCAGTACAAAGCAGGAAGGGCGGGAGTCATGGGTAGGGCTACAAAAGTATGTGAGAGTGTCTATGTGCTCCTGCATGTATCCCTGTGCCCTAGAGAACCAAACAGTAAATAGCAAATAAAAATAACCGTTCTTGGGTCAATCAAGACTGTTAAAAAAGGTAAAAGCTTTCACTTTTTCCCCTGCTTTCGAACAGGCCTTACATTTTCACTTTGCACTGGGCTCCACAATTATGTAGCCATCCTTGCCTATGTATATAGGTGAGTATGTGCATGTGCATGCTATGTTTGTATTTGAAAGAATAACTTTATCTATATTTAATAAAATTATTTTACCTATAATTTTATAATTCATAGATAAACTAAACATATATATGTAACTTTACCATATTTTATCTACAAAATGAAAATAATAATTTTAATCATTTATACTTCAAGGGAGAAGGAATTTCAACCCAATATTATCTTCTGAGTTTCTTAGAATTGGTGAATTCCTTTTAAAATCTTTCACTAAAAATATATTATATGCTAAAAATGGTGATATTCCAGCTTCAGAAACAGCACATGACATTACTAATATGTTATTAACAAAATCTGCTTTGCAACTTCGATTTCTTGACAGGCTAGAGATTTTTGGTCAGGAGCCAAAGTCATCAAATATTAAGAGTATGGAGATACATCAAATGTGTTGAAGTATCCTTAAAACTCACTAACTAATTTTAGCACATTTCAATTACTCACATAAATTACTTATACTGAACAATCCTAAATCTTCAACCTCAAATGTAAAAAATGGTATGCTTTGTAACACATCATTTTCAAAATGTACCTTCATAACTCTTGAATTATCCCACTTAAAACAGATGAACAAAATATTTCTATTATACATTTTTTTCTTTTCTTTACCTCTATTATTTAAGGAGTAATACCCATGATACTGAATATATAGCTGACGATGACCTTAAGACTTTCTTATTTTAAAAATGAAACTAAGTAGTCATAGATACTCCTTAGGTGGATGTATATAAATATATATTAGATATAGATATAAAGATATATAAAGACTACATCATAAATGATACCAAAAGAACCTTGAAACAAATATTTTTGCATTTGTCTAAATTCAGACATCATTTCTAATATTCCTGAGAGAGAGCTAAAATTGCAAGAAATCTATGACATTATATCATATTTGAAAAAAGTGCACAGCAAGGAAGATCCAGAGCAGCCGAAAATAAATACAAATTTTTAAAAATGTCCCCTGATTCCTATAGCATTGACTTTACCCAATACTATCTAAATTTTAACTCTTATTCAACAACGTAATTCTGAGCAACCTGCCCTTTTCTTTGTCTTCTTTTCATCCTTTAAATTGATGTGCAACTCCAGTCCTGACTCCCTTCTCCAACTAGAATTTAGATACTGTATCAAGCAAAACAATCAAGTATAAATAACCTTCTGGTTGAATTCCATCCCTAAAAACTCCTATCTCCTTGCTGTACCCTGGGAGCAGTTCATGCAGAAGCCAATCCAAAAGCTCAATCCATGTAATATCACGTACTCATTCACAATTTATCACGTTTTGTACACACAAAGAACCTCGGCACATTCCCAGTGTATGGGGTCAGGGAAAACCAGTTACCTACATTGCTCATGTACTCTGAAAGCAGGTCCTGGAGAGCCTGGCGAATGGCGTTGCATTCTGCAATGATCCGCTCCCGATGGAAATCTCTTGTGCAGGAAGAGTCCGCCAACAGAGCAGCCCCACTGATTATGGCTTCAAGGCGTTTCTCTAGGGACGGTCTTATTTCCTCCTCAGTCACTGTGAGTGGATCCAAGACAATTAAACTCTAAAGAAAAAACATATTTCGATGGTTAGAACTCCATGATATTCTATTTTATTATTATTATTATTGTTTTCACATTTAGAATGCATACCTGATGAGAAAGAGAATTGTGTTTTTACTGCCTCACCCAGTTCACGCATCATTCTATAAAGCAATTATTATTCACCTGAGTAACAAAAATCGGGAAATTATGAGCACTGGTTCTAGTGTCAGTCAAATCTGTTTGCAAATCTTGTCCTTTCCACGAATCAATGGTGCGGGTTCACTCAGGTGTCTTAGGTACTGTAAGCCTCACGTTCCTAATCTGTAAAACTGGAATACTAACATCGTTTATCTCATAAAACTGCTGTAAGAATGATATCAGTGCTTAATAGAGTGTCTGGCACATATTAACTGTTCTTTACAATAGTCATTTTCATATAGCACTTCATTGTTTACAAATGTTTTCACCTATATTATCTCATCTTGACAACACTATAAAGAGGTAGGCAGCAGATATTGTTAACCATGCATTTCAATCAATGGTGAAAGAGGCTGAGACTGTCTTACCCAAGGTCATTAAGCTAATAGATGGTGAAGTTCAAGCAAATATTCAGGTCTTATAATACCTAATTCAATAATGTTTTCATTATGCCTCACTATAAATCAAAATTCTAATTAACCTTAATACAAACATATCAAAGAGAATTCTGAATTTTAATTATTCATTTTGAAAGTAAAATTTCATCTTCTTGTTGATTACAACTTCCAGCCATTTCCCACCACTGGAAGCTGACATGGTATTTTTAAGGTTTCCATTAGATATGTCTTCAGGAAATAGAAGTCAAGATAATCTACAGACTTTGAAGAAAGGGTAAAAAATATGAGGCTCTAAGGGTCCTTTATTTAAATACAACAAGAGAGGAAACTTTTCAAGGTTTGGGCATAATGTGATAATTAGAGAAGGAGTATCAAATAAAAGCTCTCTGTAGATGCTTTAACATAAAATGAAATCATATAGTGATCTTCAAAATGTGTGTGTACGTGTGAGTCTTTACACACAAAAACACACTAAAAATCATTGATCTTCAGAGTATGCAGTCATATATGTATATTTATATATATATTTACATTATATATAGAGAGAGGTATTTTGTGTGTATATTATGTATAGGTATAATCTCACATTGATGATTGCACTATATCATATTATGATAAATAATCTGGAGATCAAAATATCCAGGATAAAATTTTAAAAGCTACAGCTCCAGACCAAGATAGGAAGAGAAAATCATTACGGAGAGAAAATAAAATTTTGAAATAATTACACAAAAAGAAAAAAATAGTGCTGTGCAATGTTCATATATTATATAATATAATTTAAAATATAAACTAGAAAAAGATCTTATAGAAAATTGGTTAAATATCTTAAATTCATCTCCTCTGTCTTCAAGGAAAATTTCTACTTCTCCCTCTCTGTCCCTCTCTCACTTTCTTCCCATAACCACCATTTATTTTCAAGGCTAGTGCTCACTTCGGCAGCACATATACTATTTTCAAGGCTAACTTCTCTGTCTGTGCTCTGATCTCAAGCCCTCTTCAGTTGTTCCTTTCTTATGTTTTGAGTTCATCTGAAGAGCCTAGTATGTGCCAGATAGTAGGAATTGGTAACAAAATGGAGAACATCCCTGCCCTCTTCACAGGGCTCACAGCCTAGCCAAACAGTGAAGTCGTTCAGTCGTGTCCAGCTCTTTGCGACCCCATGGACTGTAGCCCACCAGGCTCCTCCATCCGTGGGATTTTCCAGGCAAGAGTGATGGAGTGGGTTGCCATTTCCTTCTCCAGGGGATCTTCCTGACCCAGAGATTGAACCCAGGTCTAGAGGTACTGACAAATATTAATCAAATAATCACACAAATATAGAATTACAATGTGATGTGTTGTTGTTATTCAGTCACCAAATCATATCCAATCTGAAATGAAAGAATTGAAAGTTAAGAATTAATTGACCAGGCATACCTCTGGGCAATTTGGTGTGTAATCAAGATGATTAAAGGCAAAGCAGATATGAGTTCCAGAGAACTACTGGATTCTAAGGGAGGGTTTTGGATTTCGACAGAACAATGGAATTGAAAATTTTGAGGATATCTTATACAGAACTTATTTTATCAGATCAACTTAAACAGGTATCTGGGTTATAATTATGTGAAACTTAAAGCAAGAGGCATAACACTCTGAAACCTGAAAACAAACTAAAGAGACAGATTCTATCTCTAGAATAATATAGTAAAAGCATCCAATTTGAACTTAAAAGGACACAAAACTACCTAAAAGGCTGAGAGTTGTATAATCAGAAACAGAATATATGCTGCGCTAATCTATATAATAATACTATAGGAAAATCAGATCCTGTAAAAAAATGATCAAATTGTAAAATCATATGCACATTCACAGGTATTTTAAAATTTAAAAGATGTATATGACCGTGGACTGAGAGTGTGGTAACCAACCCAATTTAGAATGCAACTAAATCTTTTACTGGAGTAGCTGTAGTTTAAATCGTCATTGCTAATCTTTTTTTTTTTTTTTCTGTTGTACCCTAAAGCCTATCTTTCAGTAAAGAACAAATAATGTAAGGGTTATTTTATTCAATATGAGTTATGGTGAAAGAAAACCCTGTGGCCTTGAGAAACACAGAAATGTTAACATTTGAGAAGATTGAGATGATGGCTCTCATGTATTTGGAAGTGAACAATGTGAGGTGAATCTATACAAAAATAAGTTGGAAAGATTGCCAGAATATATTGTAGAATAAAAAAAAAATCTCAGAAAATATGCACAGTGTATATATGTTAGAAAAAAACAAACACATTAAAATACTTGATATTTCCTCTGAGTATACATATATATATAAGTATATTGGAGGCTAGGAAAAAGTTTAAGTGCCATAACAATTGCTATCTCTGAAAAGAACTGGATTGGAATGGTGGTCAAATTTTTAATTTTTAAATTGTAGCCTAATTGTGTATTACTTCTGAAATTGCAAACTAATTGAAAATAAAAATTATTAAAAATTTTAAAAGAGGAAATGGAAATTATGAATCAAACATGTATTATTATTTTGGATTCTAGAAATTAATAAACTATTTTGGAATCATAACAGAAAGATATAATGTTCCCAGTATTTATCAGAATGAAATATATCAAGTTTTTATATCAATTAACTTGAAGGATTTTAATTTTCCTATGTTGTTTCATCATTACAAATATGTTTAGTTAATATATGTCTTTTAAAAAACAAAGACATGTGACCTCAAAGTACCAGGGCACTCTTTTTTCAGTGAGCTTAGAAGTCAGAACACCCTGAGTATGAATCTTGCTCTTTCACCCACATTGAGAAAGTGATTTAAACTGCCTAAGACCGTATTTCATTCATGTAGAGTGGGGAAAATAAAACCTGTGCCTTTCATATAAGATTTTATATAATGTAGCTTTATAACTATTTTAAGAACTGGTGGGATAGGTCCCATCTCCATTTCCTTGTTACTATTATTTTTACCTTTATATGCACTACCGTCTATGGCAGATGATCAGCACATAGAGTACTACAAAGAAAGCTACACTTGCTAAAACAGAAATCTCTGTATATTACACAGATGTGTATCATATAGTCATTCATTCTACTATAAATATTTATTAATCATCTAATATAGTTCAAATTCTAAGCAAGACTTTGGTCACGCCTTACCAGGACATATAGGAAGTTTAAAAAAATCTTAAACAAGCCAAAGCATAAAACCAATAAGCTTGGAAAAAGTTTTCTTAGTTTTAATAAACATGATGTAATAAACCCTATTCATCATTCAAACACTCTATATTCTAATGAGATAGATGCAATTTACATTCAAAACACTAAAAGTCTTACACCTATTCTCAAAGTGAAATTGCCTATCAAAAGAGATGTGGCTATGATTATAATCAAGTATTAACATTCTTCACAAAAACACATGCAGTGCTTCAAGTTGAGAGCAGCAGAAGTAATAACCACAAAGCATAAATAATGTTTCCCAAGCAACTATATTATCAGTCTTCAAAGTGAGTGATAAAAATGGAACAAAATTTCTCCTTAAGATTATCAACAGAATATGCTACTGAGAGAACTCACAGGCTCTCCTTTGTCTGGTATATCCCTTACTATAATGTGTTTCTACTTAAATAACCTAAAGAATGGAACTTCAGATATTAAAAAATGTAAAAAGGCAAAATGTGAAAAATAAACCATAAATTAGCAAAATTATCAATAAATATAATTAGTAAATTATTAGTGTAAATTACAAATTTCACTACATATTCATTTATATAAAACCAAAATGTATATAACTCATATTCTATTGTATATTCGCTACAACAGAAGAATATTTTAGAAAGCCACTCAATATGCTTGTTAAACAAATTAGATGTAGGCATGCTACCTTAAATTTTTCCTCTAAATTATAGGTGAAAAACACTTAAATAGCCCAATGAGCAATATGATGGTGGCTTTACCAGAACACCAATAAATATTTTCAATTATCTAATTAATTTCAACTGAAGTAGTAACCTCTTCTAGACATATTTCTGTCAAGAGTTCAACAATTCAGTGCATGCACCGCACCACATCATGGATTGTTTGCTTCAGTTTTTATCTGGTTATATCANTCTCACATCCATACATGACTACTGGAAAAACCATAGCCTTGATTAGATGGACCTTTGTCGGCAAAGTAATGTCTCTGCTTTTTAGTACGCTGTCTAGGTTGGTCATAAAACTTTTCTTCCAAGGAGCAAGTGTCTTTTAATTTCATGGCTGCAATCACCATCCGCAGTGATTTTGGAGCCCCAAAAAATAGTCTGTCACTGTTTCCCCACCTATTTGCCATGAAGTAATGGGCCCCAATGCCATATTAGTTTTCTAAATGTTGAGTTTTAAGCCAACATTTTCACTCTCTTCTTTCACTTTCATCAAGAGGCTCTGTAGATCTTCT